GCGCCCTTTTCTGTATCGGAATAATCACTACGGAAATTCAGCGTCCATATCAGACGTTTCTAGCGAGTAACTACCGAAAGAGGATGCCTGATGAAAAACTTCTACACACCAGCTCAAACTCATCGAATGTGGATCAATGGTAACATTACCGTTCATACCCCTGGTATCTCAACATATCAAGAGGTACTTTAAAAATATGGGGTTTCGAGTCCACTACAAGACTGGCAAAACACTGAACAATGTCTTATTGAAGAAGTACATACCTACAAAACCCGAAAGAGGTGCTACATGTTGCATAAAGTGCAGTGTGGAGACTGCGATAAGGTGTATATTGGAAAGGCCGACCGTTAGTTGAACATCCGGATCCGAGAGCACCTATCTGCAGCACGCCTTGGACAAGCGGAAATTTCTGATGTTGCCAAGCATGCGATCACCCAAGGGCACTCTTTGAGTCACACGAGTGTAACTCTCTGACAAGGACCATACTAAATTAGGTCTGCTGATAAAGGAGTCCTTGCATATAATTGCAATCCAATTAGCATCGTCCATGGTTATTAGTGAAAGCTGGGGCACAATCAGGAATATGATACGCAAAGTCAGGTCAACATAACAAAGATTCATTTCATTTTTAATGTGACTTTTACTCTGTGTCTTCTGGTTAACATTCTGGTCAAGCAGTTTAACAGCGTTTTGTGTAATGTATACGCCAATTGAAAAACTATAGTATTGTTCCCTTGTTGAACAGAAATGCCTTCAAACAACCATTTGTGCACATCCCTGATTATGGTACCGTGTATGTGACGAAACGTGTTGGCAATAAAGGTTTTACCATCTACACTGTTTAATGTTTGGTGCCCTGAGCCATAAATTATTCAATAATCTGTTTATAAGATGGTTACACGTGTATCCTACGGCTCTGACCACCCCAAGTACGTTTTCGTGAGAATCTTTGAGTTCAAACATGTCGGCTATTAGTAACAGCTGAAAGAAAATTAAAGAATTACAACTGCACTTAACTTAATGAGCAATTTTGAGTGCCTTCCAGTCAAAAGCTTAGACTCACAGACTCTGTCGAAATGGTAAGAAATCTTTCGAACGAAAGCGCAATATGATACTGTGCATTTACAGCGTATGTGACCAAGAATCTCATATAGTATGCGTGTCTATATCGCAAACATATGCGCAGGAACTAATGATAAAAAAGCGATGAAAAAGCTGGTACTGTTTACCACTCGTTTTTGATATGCTAATGAAATTGCCGTAATTAGTCTCTACGTACATGATCCCAAATTGAAACTTCACTTTACCTCTGTGATGAGGCGAAAATCTCAGGAATACTCCGGGCTAAGCGAAGGGTTTATCAGACACTAAAGCACAGCTCCGTGGCACCGTTTTTTTCAAGCAGGGCTGCAGTTACGAAAAAGACTGACTTACCACTAACATGTTGGCGCCTAGATTTTTGCTGCGTCAGAGTTAAAGCGAGGATGGAAATAAGGGAGGGAGTGAAATTTCAACAGGCAATCTTCATGTCTAGCAGCGCCAAGCCAGAAAGAGAATCGAAACTGATTTCACATCTGGAAAAGAATCCGGACTGAAAAGTTCGTAGTTACCATAATCACATTTGCATCAGTCATTTCTATCGAAAGAAAGCAAAATTTACTTAATTTATGTGTATTCGGCAACCATTCGGCGGAACAGGTTTCTTCTACGATCGAACCGGCAAGATGACCGCAGCGGCTACGCGATTTTGGTCTCGACGTGAACGCGCATGGCTGGCTAAAAAAACCACAGTTGAAACGTCAAAGCAGTTTAATTCATCATGGGAAAGAGAGTGGCTGCGTGATGGCACAAGAGAAGATGAAAAAGGAGATGGCAACGGTAGCACGAGCGGAAATAAGTCATCGCCTATCTCGGCTGTCGTTAAACCGCGAGTCGATAGCAAAATAAGAGGCGCTGCCGCCGCTTTATCTATTGCATCAACTAGAATGCTAATCGACGTGCTTTGAAAACTTGTGCGAGTCACATTAGCTATCCTGTCTGAACTCGCGCCAGTTCAAAATAACACCAAACTAGTCCGTTTCAAGGAATCAATGGATCGAGTTCGACGCTCCGTAATGGATGTTTGCATTAACAGAGGGATAGACCTATCAAGTGATCAAAACCCTGTTACTGGCAAGCTATGCCATAAAAATGGAGTACCATACAAAGATGTGATGGCAGAAGCAA